AATTCTTTGAAGAGTAGTTAACCATCCTTCGAGAGCAGGTCAGTTTAGAAAGGTTGCTGACTGTCTACTCTGTACATGGCACACTGCTAGGTGAGAATGAAAGCAAAAGCAGATTCTTTCTTTCTTTCTTTAATTAATTTATTTATTATTCATATGTGCATACAATGCTTGGGTCATTTCTCCCCCCTGCCCCCACCCTCACCCTTACCTCCCATTCTGCCTCCTCCCTCTCCCTCCCACCCCCTCGATACCCAGCAGAAACTATTTTGCCCTTATCTCTAATTTTGTTGAAGACAGAGTATAAGCAATAATAGGAAGGAACAAGGGTTGCAAAATCAGATTCTGATGGGAGTGGCTCAAGTGGTAGAAGCACTGCCTAGCAAGCATGAAGCCCTGTGTTCAAGCCCCAGTACTTCCAAAAAAAACCTCTGGTGAGGGAATTGGGATAAGAAATCACAGGTTCCTCCATGACCAGACTGTATATAGAAGGTGCCATAGCCACTGTAAGAGAGAGTGGGAGGTCTGGAAGGGTTTCTCCACCAGGCATCAAGGGGCAGTAGGTGTTCCACACCAGAGTGTTCTTCTAGATCCAGAGGTGGTTAGAGGTATAGTTGTCAGGAGGTGGGTCTGGAAAAAGGAGTTAACTTTCAAAACATCCATCTTATACTAAAGAAGAGGACACTGCATGTAAATACTGTGCTGAAGCATTGTTTGACTTTGGGAACTTTTAGTTCAAACCTAGTGATTAATGATACAGAGTTCTTGGTTAGTGTGTATTTGCCATGTGCCTGGCAACCATTCTAAGGGCCTTTCTCATGCTCCTCACCACAACTTGTTGAAGATATGCCATAATGACCCTCCTTGACAGGCGAGGAATGGGACAGCAACAGGGTCCCAAGGTTGCCCACAGGCAAGTGGCAAGGCCAGAACTCAGGTCCAGTGGCCAGGCTCTAGTCTGCTCTCCTCCACATGTTTTACAGACGGTGAGCAGCCATCTGTAAAACCATCATGCTCCTTGAATGTCTTCCATTCTCTGTTTCAGTGTGCTTTGGGTTCTTTGTTTAAATGCTTAAATGCATCTAAAATTAAAGCGGCAGTCATTTTGTTTCTTTGGTACAATTGAACGCGTTGCTGTTTCGTTTAATGAATAAGAACAATTGAGTAATGCTAATCGTTTACAGGGGTTTCTTCCTCAAACTGTTTGCATTTAATGTTCATTCAAGTTACATTCCTTTTAGATTGAGGGAACTCTTTCTGAACACTGATGATCTGGCTGTTTGCTGAGGTAGTTTCCAGGTTGCTACCTCAGAAGAGTATCTCCACTAACTGGCATTTGTTTTGCTCTGCCTAAAAATAGTTCTAGATGTAAGAAATGAAGTCATTCATCTAGTGCCTTAAATTATAGCTCAAATAGACTTCTAGCAGTTATGCCTTATGCTTGTATTATAAGTTTCCCTACTTTTAATAGCTCTCAATAAGTATTTATTGATAATGCTAACTATAAATGATAGAACATCATAAAGAGGGTAGCAGGCTGGTATTTTTTGACTAACCAAAGGTTTGGGACAAAACTTAGCTCATCCTCTTACTGTTTTAGTAGAAGAGTGCACACTTTAGCTAACACCTTAAATGCAAAAGTTCTTTGGTGCTTAAACTAAATTAGAGTTGTTTTCCTTTAAAAGGGCATGAACATTGTGCTTTAGGATGCTTGGGCAGATCCATAGCACCCTAAGAACCTAAGATTTGGGCGACTAAGAACCCAGATGGCCTCCTGGCTGGGTAATTTCTCAGCACTCTGGTATGTCCTAATATTGCCAAGTAGGCTGGAAGAATTTAGAGAACAGGAAATAAGCTGCTGTGAGATAAAATGGGCAGCTGTGCATTACAGACAGGAGAGGAAATGAGAATGAATACTAGCCCAAGGAAACAACATTAGCAGTTCCACTTCATTTTTAAACCAAGAATTATTGGAAAAACGTTGGTCTCCAATTGAGGGTGTTCCCCACCTACTCAGTTATACCAGTTAGAACTCACAATGAAGAAGTATGTGAGTGGGATCACATTTCCAATTACTGCTGCATCTCAACTGATTAAGAATTACAGGATGAAATTGAGTCTGTGGACATTTCATTTACCCAACAATGGTGCTGTTTTAATACCAAGAAATCTTTAATGTTGGAAATAATTTTAAAATATCTTTTGCCTCTACTCTTTTGTGTTTGTATCATTCAGTGACTATGCAGGCTATTTTCATGAGGAAGAGGGGTTTCATTGTTGTTAACTAAATATGCACCCATACATGGCTTAGGTGAAAGTAAAAGCAAATAATATGACTAACCTCTGTCCTCTAAAATATGACACTTTATCATCAGAGAGGCTTGTGGTAGAATGAAGATTCACCGTGTTAACCTAAAGAAATACTTTAAAAATGGACCAGTCGTGATTATCATGACTGTTTTCAGATTCCATCCTATGGTATGCATTCTGAAGTACATTAAGAATTGTGGGCTTCTATGATTAATGTTTGTCTGTAGAGACCAAATTGTAGCTACAGGCACATTTGTGGATTGTAGTGTTTAGTTCAAATCACTGTTGGATCTAACAGGAGTTTATGAAGTTGGCTTTCTTAACTGTTTGGAAATTCTAAATTTTATGACACGTTCGATGTCATTTAAAAACTTCTATTGTTGTTGGCTTGACTTTTTAAAAATCAGTAATTTAAATAGCAAATTATTAGACATTAGGTAAGTGAATCTGAATTTGTTGTCCTCTTGTCTACCCATTGAGGTCGCCTGTGTATGTTCAGAATCCTGTAATTGTGTGTGATGCACTATATTATGTATGTTTAGTAAACTGAACTCTGATGGGGCCAAAATCCCCTAATCTGTGTCCTCATCACTTAATAGCGTCTGGTTCATCATAGGCAGACAGGCAATATTTGCTGCTATTAAAATGCATTTAGATAGGGCTGGCGGAGTGGCTCAAGTGGTAACAGTACTTGATTAGCAAACGTAAGGCCCTGAGTTCAAACCCAATCCCACCAAAAATGGAAAGAAAATGTACTGGAAACAGTCTTTAATATAGCTCAAGGATATAATTTAAAGGATCACAACTTCTAATTCAATATTATCCTTCATAAAATATACTCAAAATTGTTGTTAGTATTGAAGGGTCCCACACCTCAGCAGCACAGATCTGTGTCCACAAACTGATAATTAGGGTAGATGTGTTAGCGTTGCACCTGAAAAGCCAAATTATAACAAGAAAGGAGCTTCCACCTGGGATACAATTAGGTGGGGCTGCCTGGGAAGTTTTCAGTGTACACTACACATTCTTGCATGTTGACTCCAGTGTAGTTAGCCATCAAATGAATTAGATTTAACTAGTGATTGCCAGGTCTCAAGAAAGCCCAGTTTCCCAACTTCCTTTAGTTTTTGTAGGGTTTTTAAAAAGCAGCAGTATTTTTTTTCCTCTTGAAAATTTTGAGGATTTTGTTATACATCTTACAAGTGCTGATACCACTAAGTATGGTGAACCAAGGCTAAGGCCGACTAAATCAGACCATTCTTGGTGGATGGGGGGAGGTTCTCTCCTAGCTCTCTGATGACTTGGAAGCACATTTAAACACCCCAAAATCAGATGTGTCCATTGCGTAACTTTGAGAAGTATGGGGCTGTGCATTGGTCTGAAAACAAGAAGTATGCTTTAGAAAGATAGGTGAGAAGGATCTGGGCATACTAAGGGTTCTTAACCATCAGTCATTGAGCTCACTTTCTATTTCAGAATCTGTGTAAGAACTTGGAAACCCTTTACACTGGTGTCACATGTGCACGATAGTTGCTATGAATTTATTAGGCACAGGATGCTGGGAGAAGACAGAAGACGCATGTCTTGATGAATAGCAGGAGTACTCTGCTGACCAAGGTAGTACTCGTTCATCAACATGTCAGTGGTATTCAACCTCGACTTTTAACTTCTGAGAGTGGTGAGGACGGTTGTGTCCTCCATCTCAACATCAGCCCCATAGCACAAGCATAATGAATCAGTTCATGTCAGTCATCAGAATAGGCATACTGGGAGACAGCCTCAGGGAACACTCACCAAAGTGTTAGTTTTGTGGCTCAAGTTCTCCTGGGATCAGTCCAGATTCTCCTTCTCTTAGAGATTTTGCTCAACTCCGTGAGGACTGATCTCAGGTCCCTCAGGCATGTATTTACCCAGACTCACAAACCACGTGCCAAACTTTCTATCTTTTTTAGATAAGAAATTATACTTGAGAAAGAGGAAAGTAATTTGCCTCATTCAGAATTTTCTAAGTTTAAGCACTTTTTTCTAATTTTTAAAAATGTTTTAATTTAATATGTGAATTGTGTAAAAGGAACTAAGTTCTTATAACTTATGAGCTTATAACTTCTTCATGTTTCCTCTTTCCTTCATGATTATAAATCCTAAACAGCTTACATCTTTCAGTTGTTTATTTTCCAAATTGACCGTGTATAGATGTGTAACTATTCAGAAATACAGAGGTGCAGAAAAGAGAAAATTTCACTGCTTGTAGAAAATGAAGTTAAATAAGACTCACTCTTTTTTTGTACTGAGAAAATAATACTGTGATTCAAAAACATGACAAATTTTGTGAAAACTGTTTCCCCACAACAGAGGACTAGCAGCTCAATGATCATTACACAGCTGTGAGAGACAGGTGCTGGATTCAGGTGGGTCCTCTGTGTTTTTATAGCAGTGGGCATATTCTAACTGTATTTTATTATTTGCCCAGGTGCCTGCTGTTTTCCAGAAAGCTATGTCAAGTGTTTGTGGATCTTCGTGAGACTGTCCTATGTGGGTTCCACCTGGTCCCCTCTACTTGTTCCACATCATCCCCTAGGCTTTTGCTGTGACTGCCTGTACTCTGTTTAGTTCTGGAGTCTGAACACTTCATGGAAGTAAGGTTGACCCTCTGTTTTCTTTCCTGTGATAAATATTTTCTTGTTGTTTTCTAGGTTGTGCTGGTGAGGTGGAATGAGCCATACCAGAAATTGGCCACATGTGATGCGGATGGAGGAATATTTGTATGGATTCAGTACGAAGGCAGGTGGTCTGTGGAGCTAGTCAATGACCGAGGGGCTCAGGTGAGTGGACAGCAGACCTCTTCCAAAGAAAGACTACAACACAGAGATCAGACCATGTATGCTAGAGCTCTTTCTTGCATGAGGTAAAGGAGAAGTAAATAAAATTAGAACCTTGTCTTTCATTCAACTTCTGTATGTCACTCTGGAGAGAGAGTGTGAAATCATACTTCCTTCTCGTCAGGCAGGCTGCAACTGTGAGAACTTTCCAAGCTGTAAGCAATCTGTGAATTATTTTGTACCATTCAGTGTTGTGCTTCTGGCATATCACTTTGTTCCCTTTTAGAAGGTATTATCCCTGTGCTGTGGTCTTTATATGTCTCTCACCAAGAGCACCACATGTTTCTCACAATCTACTGGCCTTAAAAACACTCTTTTCTGTCAGGTTTCAATTAGTGCAGCTACCTGTTGTCATAGGCCTTTATTTCTGATACAATTTATCTTTGCTCTGAGGAAAACAATTACTGCAAGGACATCCTGCTGAGCTGTGTTATTTCTAGAATGGCTTCATGGGTTGTTCTGGCTTTTGGTGCAGTTCCTCCTCAGATGGGAGGATGGACTGCTTTGGCATTTGCCCTCTCACATGTTTAAGGTCACGTCAGAGCAGGCAGTTCTTATCCTGTGGATTTGGCAAAACTGTGACTTCAGAATGAGTCCTTCAGAGGTCATCTATTGATGAAGTGTTTCTTGTACTGTTTTGACTCTGCCACTCTCCCAGTAGCATTTCCCTGTGATTGCCTTTCTATACTTTTCTAAAGGTTTGGATTCTCATCCTTTCCTTTGCCACCTGTTGCTTAAATAAATTATGAGCTTCTCAAGTCTGAAAGACACAGACCATTCAAGTGACATAAAATAACAAGGCATGAAGATACTGTCCTCATTGAATATTAGCAGGCTAAGAGTCTCTGTAAGATATCATCACAGAAGACCACCTACCTCTCTGGGAAAACAGAATGTTCTTTTTTTGTGAGTTTATTTAGTAGAATAAATATAACAACATTAACTGCTTCTGATAAAACCATATCAATTTTACCATGCCTCCTTGGAGTGGGAAAAGGAAGACATAATACCTGTCCTATGATAAGAGAGCTGCAAATGTGGCAGTCTCCATGACCATGAGAAATTAATATCACTTTGATGAGGGATATTGCGGTCAAGAGCATGAGCTCTGGCTTCAGACACCATAGATCAACAGTCTCACTCCAGGACTTCTGAATAGGAGATAGTTCTGTGTGCCTAGTTCCTCATCTGTAATACAGGGACTGGAATGGTCCTTGCCTCCAAGGATCACTGTGAGGATTAAACAAGAGTCTGTACATGAAAAGTACTTGTATTACTGTTTGCATGTAACAGCTGTCTTTGCATGTGACCATACCGTCAGTATTTTGCAGAACTGCTGCCTCCTAGCCTCTAGCACAGAGCTCACCTGCCTTAGAACAGTAGCTATATGTTATTCCCAAAGACAAGTTAAAGTCAGCAACTGTTTTTTGGTTTCTGTGAAGTGGAGACTTCTCTGAGGTTGACCACAGAATATAGCTAAAGTGCCATATTCTTCATCTAGGACATTATTCCCTAGAAAGGCCCAGTGATGGGCTGGGTGCATTGACCCAAGCCTGTAATCCTAGCTACTTGGGAAGTAGAGATAGAGAGGATCATGGTTTGAGGCCAACCTGGGCAAAACAGTTCATGAGACCCCATCTTAACCAATGTCTAGTTATGTTAGTGCACTCCTGTCATCCCAGCTACACAGAGAAGCACAGGAGGATCATAGTCCAGGCTGACCCAGCATAAAGTAAGACCCCTCATCAAAAATAACACACAAGTGGTAAATCACTGCCTAGCACAAGTGCAAGTCCCTGAGCTCAAGTCCAAATACCATGGCAGGAGGTACTGGGACTTGTCTTCAGAGTTAGGATGTCAAGGGTACTTTAAATCATTACTAAGAAGAAAAGAAAATTAGGAAACATGCCAGCTAAGGGTGTGGCTTTTTCATGTGTTATTTCTCTCAATGTCTATAGGAACTTTATTCTGAAATGTTGTTATTCTTAGTTGATATAAGAAAAATCCAGGTCAAGGATGTTCGGTAACTTACCCAAGTAGGTTCATTGGGAGTAAAGCAAGAACTCAAACTCCACTTTGAGTCTACAACATTCCATTACACCATTCCCAGATTAAAACTATATTCTCTTTTGGCAGAAATCCATGTATTCATAGTATACCCCAAAATTCCCAGTCTTTATTAATCATTTGAAAGGCCCACCCCACCTACAAAGCAGCACCACCATTACATGGTTTTCTCTTGACAGCAGCCTGTCTGAGTAGGGGGCCCCTGTCATCTCCATGTAGCACCTGTGTGATCAAAACCACCTGTCGAATCCTTCCATATTTCTGTACAGAGTTTTGAGGAGTTAAACATGTCAGAAACAAGAAACGTAAGATGAAGTCAGCCTTACAGGTAAATGAGCTTATGCAGAGCACAGAACATCTGGCTGCATCCAGAGCTTCACAGATGCCTGTGGCTCCGAAGTGTCACTAAAGTAATCACTGTGTCTTGTGACCTTATTCCAATGTTTATGTAATTTTGCTGTTTGGAACTGATTCTTCAAACCTTGGAACCCGTTGAGCAGCTGTCATCATTAAACACTGGCATTCTGGGTAGGTTTGTTTGCTTTAAATTGTGTTGGAGTCAGATCTTATGTGAGTGAAAAAGACAGCACACACAGGTGATGGCAAGTCACTACTCAAGGCAGTGGTGGCAGTTTTACCTAGAGAAGTTTCTGGTTGCAAGAGCACTTCTGTGACTTACAGGAGGACCATCTTTGAAGCCAGCTCAGAGACAAATGTCTCTTGTGAAAAAGAATGACAAGGTGTTCCTTGCCTTAGAGCATGCCTTTCATTGTCATAATGTAACCAAACATTTGGCAAAAGCTAAGTGAAGCTTTAACACTTTCTTTTTCAGGGTATGATTATAAACTGATTATTTCAAATGAATCTAGAACAGTATGTGCATTACTGTACACTGTCAATCACTGAGAATGGTTCAGTACCAGGCACACACACTCTGAGACAGTCTCATGAAAACCTGCCTTAGCTTACTCAGGCTACTGCCCAGCTTCAATTAATCCACAACTAAGAACTCTCCTTAGTAAAGCAAGAGCATTGCAACCTTCTCTACTTGAAAAACAACCCAAAGAAGTAGAATTTTTGCTGGCTTTTTCCAGCATTTTATACTTGACTTTTGAGGTTTTTTTTAGTGTGCGTGTGTGTGTGTGTGTGTGTGTTTGCTTGCAGTTCTGGAAGTTGAATCCGGGTCCTACTGCATGCTAGACAAGCATTCTACCCCTGAACTACATCCCCAGTCCTAGATTTTTTGAGATAGGGTCTCTCTATGAAACCAATACTGGCCTTGAACTTACTGTGTAGTCCAGGTTGACCTCAAACTGACAACCCTCCTGCTCTTGCCTCAGAATGCTGGGATAAAAGACATGTACCACACCTGTCCAAATGTCATTTTATTGTGATTCTTATTGCTCCATGTTGACCTAATAAACCAAATTGGCTCATGTGAGCATCCTACATGACTTTTTTGTGAGATTGCTGCTGGCTTTTATTTCTTTGGGGGAATAAGACTCCCAAAGCACAGGAAATAAAAGCAGAAATAGACAAATAGAATTACATCAAACTAAAAAGCCTCATAACAAAGGAAGCAATTGACAGAGTAAGAGTCAACCTACAGAATGGGAGGAAACATTTGCAAATCTGCATTTGACAGGATTGGTCATAAGGAAGTTAATAGCAAAAAGCCCACATGATCCAATTAAAAACTGGGTAATAGACCTAAAAAGATGTTTCTCAAAACAAAATATACAAATCACCAACAAGTATATGAAAAAATGTTCAGCCTCACTAATCATCAGGAAAATGCAAATTTAAACCACAGTGAGATACCACCTTGTAAAGGTAACAAGTGCTAGTGGGGATGTGGAGAAAAGGGAATCCTTGCACAATGTTGGTGGGACTGTACATTAGTTCAGCTATTATAAAATCAGTATAGAAGTTCCTCAAACAATTAAAAATAGAACTCACATATGATCTGCAAGCCCATTATTAATGAATAGGTAAAGAAAATATGCAATATATATATGTACACACACAACACAAACATACACACATACAGAATAAAATACTAATCAAACTTTAAACAGATGAAATCCTCTCATTTACAACAACTTGAATGGACCTGAAAGTGAAATAAACCTGGCACAGAAAATACAAGTGCCACATGATGTCACTTATATATGGATTGTGAGAAAGTTGATCTCATGGAAATTGAAAGCAGAATCGTGATCACTAAAGGCCAGAGAGAGTAGGAGTGGGAAAGAGGAGAACGGTTGGTCAGTGGTACTAAGTTATGCTTGCTTAGATAGGAACAAGAAGTTTTAGAGTGTGGTTGTACTACAGAGTAGCTGTAGATAGCGATTATGTACTCCATATTTCAAAAAGAAGTGGAAGAAGGGATTCTTTAATGTTTTCATTACAAAGAAATAATAAATGTTTAAGGAGATAAATTTGGGGGTTGCCATTATCTCCAAGAACTTTCTTTTTAATGGCTGTATTTTTTAGCCTTCTATTAAGAAGATATGTTTCCTTTTAATACAAATCTTTTCTAGGATACATAGTTAAAATTCATGTCAGTAATAGCATTATCTTTACCCAAATGAAATACCTTTTCAGTTTTATTACAGAATATGAGTTGTCTCTAAAGGAATGTTGTTTTAAATTCTTAAGAAAAACTAAGTAATGAATTTATTGGAACATGATACGAATGAAGCTGAGGCTCTGAGTTTACCTGAGCAATACTTACTTCCATAACCTCAGAGCAGCTGTTCAAGACCTGTCTCACTAATCAGTGTCATTGTCATAAGAGACATTGCTGATCACTCAGCAGAATCCTTAGCCCCAGCTGAGAAAGCAGTCAAAAGTTATGTCCTCTGCTGTATGTTCATTTATTTTCTTATTGCTTGAAATGTGGTATTTCTAGTAATGTCACAAGTTTTTTAGAAAGCTGAAAATTATATAAGCAATAGTGAAGATTATAAATAGGAATTTTGTGGGAAAAGATTAAAAAAGAAACAAAAGGTAGTACAAACTAAAAAATTAAGGTGGTAGAAGTAGAACCAAATACAACACTAATGTAAGTGTACAAAATTCACCAATCAAAAAATATAGCTTGACAGAGTTTATTTTTTGTTTATTTATTTATTTATTTTTTATGGTACTGGGGATTGAACTCAGGGCCTTGTGCTTATTAGGCAAGCCCTTTACCAATTGAGCTACTCCCCCAGCCTACAGATTATATTTTTTAAAACCTGGATATATGCTTTGAAGAGCCATATTTAAAACTTATGGCTTATCATGCTGACGTAGCTACATTAGTATTTAAAAAACAGCTTAAAGAATGTATTGTCTATAAAGACCAGATAATAATAAAAACTGGGATTTCTCAAGATATTTTAATATGTATGCTTTTATGAATAATATACCATCAGAATATTTAAAGGAAATTGATGGAACTGAAAGGAAGACTGATATATCCATTGATATACTCTGAATTCAAACAACAACCAGAAAGATACAGAAGACCTGAGCAGTACAGTTAACAAACTTGGCCTTGTGTGCCTGCATGATTCTCAGTCTACCAATTAAAGAACATACATTTTTTTCCTCAAATGCACAGCACTGAACAATCATTGTGTTCTTGGTAAGATTCTGCAAACCTTTTCTTTACAGAAAGGGGTAAATAGTGAATATTTTAAATGTATTTATGTAAACATTATGTCACAAGAGAAAACAATTTTTTAAAAAATTGATGAAATTAAAATTGTATGAACATTAAAACTTTAATATCCTATACTTTCAGAAAATAACAAAATATTAATCTACTGATTTCTTTCTTCAGGCATTTAAAACCATTCTTAGCTTGCAGGATATACAAAAACGGACAACTGGACAGATTTGATCCACAGACCATCGTTTGACAACCCCTAATTTGGTGAATAAATAAAACCTCAGCAAATTTGTAGGCATAAGTCAGAACAGAAGTTTTTAATACAGTGCAACTGGGTTAGAAGTTAATAACAAAAATATAAATTTAAGAAATCCCTACATATTTAAATTTATTTAATGTATGGTTAAATAGTACTTGGGTTAAAGAATAAATTTATGAACATTTGTAAAATCCTAGCTCTGAATAATAATAAAACATATCAAAATTTGTAAGGTATGGTTAAAATGATAATGTGAGATAAACGTATAACCTTACTTTTTTTTTTTTTTTTTTGCAATGTTAAGGATTAAACATAGAGTCTCATCCATGCTAGACAAGTGCTGTACCACTGAGCTATACCTCTAGCCTAACCTTAATTATTTATATAGAAGTTCTCTATTATCCATAGGTATATAAAAGTAATATAATGGAAAATCCATGGAAGCAATTTACCACAGTAGATTAAAGGAGAAAAAAATTGTGGTCATTTGAATAGATGCAATAAATGCATTTGTTAAACTCAGAACCCAAGTATAAGTAATGTTTTCCAGTTAGATTTCTTTTCCTTCATTTTGATAAAGGGGATATTGTTAGCAAGACTGCAAGGGAACAAGAAACTGAAAGCTTTACTATTTTGGTAAGTGACCAACAGGCATTGATGGACAATCTGCTACTAATCATAAATGGTAGGCTGCATAAACAGTGGTTAAAAGCAAGGATCCTGGAGCCAGACATCCCTGGGATCATTGACTCTGCCCTTTGCCTGCCATGTGACTAAGTGTCTCATTTGTCTTTGGAGATGGGGTGATAATACTCACGGGTTGTTGTTATATGGCTTAATGAATTAGTTTACACAAAACATGTACAGTAGTGTTGGCACACAGTATACACTATATTACATTTCAGTTTTTATTATAGCTTTTCAAATGTCTTTTATATTGTTGTCTTTACGCCATCTTGATTATCAAAAGGCTAACTTAATTACTACATCTAGGCTTTGAAATGCTATCCCTTTCAGGTTACAAAATAAACCCTTCTCTGTGTGTCTCTCAAAGGTGAGTGATTTCACATGGAGCCACGATGGAACTCAAGCACTCATTTCATATCGAGATGGGTTTGTGCTGGTCGGTTCCGTCAGTGGACAAAGACACTGGTCATCTGAGATCAACTTGGAAAGTCAAATCACATGCGGCATATGGACTCCTGATGACCAACAGGTAATGGCTCTGGCATGTGAGAGTGTGATTTACTTACTGTGGTGACTGAGAAGGATGAAGGGGACAGGAGAGAGGGAGCTGCAAAAGCCTCTTAAAGAATCACAAAGAAAAGGAGCAATATAACTGTCCAGATACAAATTAAAACAAAAAGTTATATGAAACAGATAGGAGAAATTATATTTGCCACCAATGTGATAAAAAAATGAGTTAACATCTTAATTATATAAAATTTCATAGAAATTAGTTTTAAAATCACATAAATAGCAAATTGATAAATAAATAATAGAAATACATAAGTCATTTACAAAATAGAAAGTTCAACTAATTAATAACCATATGGGAGAAAAATATACATTCTCGGGGCAAAATTAAAATTAGCACAATGAGGGTGTATCTTTCACTAATTAGTAAAAACAATAAAATAATATTATGATTTTGCTAAATATTGACAAGAGTATGAACAAATGAGCATTCTCATTGATTGCTGGTAATAATGTGTGTCAGACTTTTGGGGAACAATTTATCAAAATACATCAAAAGGCTTACAAATTATCCTCCACTTTTGTAATACATTTTGAATCTAGTCTAAAAAAAACAAAAGTGGAAAAAATAAGCTACAATTTTAAAGCATTATATATAATAATAAAAACTGGTCAGCATCCTTCTTGACTAAAAATAAGAGAGTGATTATATAAACTAATTTAACCACTTAAAATGAGTATAAAATAGCTCAATAAATTATAGATTGTAGTTATGAAAATCATATAATCTGAAAGAGCTTTTAGGACGTTAAGAAAAAAAATCTGGTTATGAAATGGTATGTGTGATATGTTTACACATAATAAAGCAATCAAAAGAAACTATCCATCCAGCAGAAAGCGCTGGAAGAAAACAAGTCAAAGTGCCACAGGTGGTATGGCAGTGATAGAGCTCCTGCCTCGCAAGCACGAGGCCCTGAGTTCAAAGCCAACCTAGTACCACCCAAAAAAGAAAGAAAACCCTGTCAATTTCAAATTTATAAACCTAATTTCAAAATTTTCTTAATTGTACTTGTTTGATTTAATGATCAATTAATACATAATAGCTCCATAAATTATATATTGATAATTAATTTTTAAAATATAAGTATTGACTAGTTAAAACCTTTGTAAATATAAAACTTGTGTTTTCCAGTATGGTAGAATCCATAAAATGCCAGATTTTTATCAGAGATTTAAGTTTAATACTGGTAAAGCAAGCAGTGTAGACTGAAACTGTGACTTTCATGCTGTATTTTATTTTGTGCTTGGCAGTACTGGGTTTTGAAGCCAGGGCCTAGTACTTGGTAGACAGGTGCTTTACCACTTGAGCCACACCCCAGCCCCCTTTGCTTTAGCTGTTTTTCAAAGAGGATCTTGGGTTTATGCCGACCCCAGTCTGGGCTGCAGTTCTCCTATTTACACTTCCCACAGAGTTGGGATGGCAGGTTTATACCACCATGCCCAGTTTATTTTGATTGAGATAGGATCTCATGAATTTTTTGTCCTGGCTGGCTTCAAATTGTGATCCTCCCAATTTCTGCCTCCTAAGTAGCTGGGATTACAAGTAGGAGCTACTGTGCCCAACTCATAGCATGTGCTTAATTTCATCTCTTCCTATAGCTGATTTATTCAAATGATGTGTCTTACTTCAGGCTAAAGTTTGTCTTCTGTTAAACTGCAAGAAGGAAATGTAATTCTACTGGATTTTATACGGTGGGTGAGGACTCTGCATAGTCTGCTAGGGCTGCCACAATAGAAAACCACAGAATTGGTGACTACACTGACAGAAATTTATTTCTCAAGCTGTGTGTACAAGACCAAGATGTCTCAGCAGGTTTGGTTTCTCTTGAGGCTCCTCTGCTTGGCTTATAGATGTCCACCTTCTATAAGCTTAGAGATGTCCATGTGTTCTCACATGGAGTTTTCTCTTCCTCTTAGAAGGACACCAGCCCTGTTGGATTAGACTCCCACTCAAAATGGCCTCATCTAACTTTAATTACCTCTTTACAGACTCCATATCCAAATAGTCACTAAGGGTATCAAACAAATTTAATCCATTTGCTGAAAAAAATCAGGATATTTATTTGGGGAGGCATATAATTCCATTTATGACATACTGATAAAAATATTTGGCTCATGCCTATAATCCTCCCTACTCAGAAGGTGGAGATCAAGAGGATCGTGGTTTGAAGCCAGCGCGGGCAAATAGTTCATGAGACTCTGTCTTGAAAAATGCATCATAAAAAAGAACTGTTGGAGTGGCTCAGGGTGTAGGCCCTGAGTTCAAGCACCAGTACTGCAAAAGAAAAAACAGGATGGTATACATAAAAGTGAGAAATAAATAAACATAAACATAATGGGAAAAAATATATGTGGGTCCTACTTTGATCCAGAGTAATGTGGCAGAGCAACTTTTGCCAGTCTTAGAAGGCCCTGACATCACAGCTTGGCAGGTATGAACGAGCATGCTTTGTTTCCTCTCATTCTCCAGAATGGGAGAAGACCATGATACTTGATTTATGAAGGTGCTTTGAGACACAGGCATGGAAGACTGTCCTTTCAGCAGGTTTTGATGTTGGCTGACTTCCTAGCACTGGGGAATGCTTCTCAGAGCTTGAGAGTCATCTCTATTTAAAGAAGCAGAAATGGTGACAGTCCTCCAGCAACACAATAGGCATGACTGTGGCTCTCCTTGGAGGACAGTGACCAGCTTGTCTATCTGTGCCCTCGAAGCCTCATGTTAATGTCATCTTTTCTGGACACTGCTCTTGCTCATTATCAGTCATACCTCTCAGCCAAATCTCTTGCTTCTTCCCTTTCCTCCCACCTCCCAAGGGCTGTCATCTTGCAGACATGCCCTCCTAGGTTGTTTCTAGGCTCCAAGCTTTGGGTCTCTTCCTTTTTGCCCTGTCCTGTTGGTGATCTTTTCTACTACCAGCTCCTGCTGACCCATCACAGACTCCTTGATCCTGCCTGTTCTTGTACCTATCTCGTTCTTTACACAGTATCACTGTGCCTGCAGATGAACTCAGCCTAGACATTGCTCACCTCTAATGTGGTCGAAATTTGCCTTGTTCTGCATCCTGCTCCTACTCCCCTTTCCCCTCTTAGCCTCCTCCTCTGCTCCTGCTAATCGTGCACTCCCACCTGGGAATTTCCCTTGGTTTTCCCTTTTCTTTATCTCTACCCTTCTTCCTGGTTATCAAGACCTATCAATTCTATTTCCTTAATATTTTATATCAGAGAATTTTTTTTACATTTAAAAGTTAAAGATAGTTGGGTTAAAACTAGACTATATGAAGGTATTTAAGGTTTTGCAGCTCATAGTTCTCATGAAATACAAGTATATTCACTTTTTATAGTAGATGAATATATATAGTTGAACTGAGTTTTTGTAAGCATGGTTACATTTTAAATAATAACCTATGGGAATCTCCCTAGTTAAAGCATATGCTGTAAAAATTGCCCTTATTTAGAAGGTATTTGTTAGGTATCTTCACCTAATACATCTTTTTGTTAGCAATGTCCAGACTTCAGTTTTCTATGAATATCGGTAATATTTGTTTAAAAATTGTAAAACTATTTTTAAAAGGAAAGGATCTTAAATTTATTTTTAAAGGATTTTTAAATTTAAAAGGATCTTATACAGTCTTAAAAAGTGAATTGAATTCAAATAAAGTAGAAAGGGTCTGGATTGGTAAGTATTAGAAAGTTACCAGGATAAGACTTAAGTTTTCAGGTCTTCACACACTCAGATATAAGTGGGTAGCATTTACTTCTGCCACAATGCTGGTGGGTGGTTTGTTTTATGCTTTTTAACCTAGAAACGGAAGATTTTTTTTTTGGCTTGTCTCATCTGCTGGAAGGAGGCTTTCCACAAAATGTGATCTGATGTATGTATATGTGCTCCTGAGTCTGCTGTGTTTGTACTGCAACTGTGCACCACTGTTGATGGCACATGGGGAAAGCAACAAAAAGCCACTGAAAGTGTGATATGCCTCTGTGCCATCTGTGACATGCAGTACATTATTGGACTGGACTGGAATTAGGACTTGAATACTTGGTGTTACAGGATCACTAACATACATGTCAGTGCAGAATTTTTAAATGAAATAATTAGTTTAAATAATTTTTAAAACAATTTTTGTGGTATTAGGGTTTGAACTTAGACCCTTGAGCTTGCTAGGCATGCATTCTACCACTTGAACCATGCCCCCAATATTTTGCTTTAGTTTTGTGTTTTTTTGCACTTTATCTTTCATTAGCATAAATTAACTGTGCAAAGAGGTTTTATTGTGATATTTCCATACATGAGTATAATGTACTTTGATTACATTTCACCCCCTTATTATTCTTTCTTAACAATCCTCCTATGTAACAGTTTTTAGTGAATTTCATTATGCTATTTTCATGCCTATTTATAATGTAATCATATCATATTTGCTCCTCATCATCCTCTCTATTCTCCTCCCCCCCAAAAAAAAAGTCATTTCATATTGTTTTTTTAGGTCTAGACACCACATGAGTCAAAAAATACAATATTTTATCTTTCTGAGCTTGGCTTATCTCACTAAACATGATGATCTCCAGTTCTATCCATTTTCTGCAAACAACATAATTTCATTTTTCTCTGTTTTTGTTCAGGTAGTACTGGGGTATGAACTCAGGGCTTCACACTTGCTAAGGGGGCACTCTACCACTTGAGCCACACCTCTAGCTCTTTTTGCTCTGGTTATTTTTGAAATGAGGTCTTGCTTTTTGCCCTGGCTGGCCTGGACTGCAATCCTCCTATTTCTGCTTCTCGCAGTAGCTGGGATAAGAGGCACATACCACCATGCCTGGCTTTTTCTGTTCATCAGGATATCACAGATTTTTTTTTTTCCCAAGCTGACCTCAACCACTGTCCTCCCAGTCTTTGCCACCTGAGTAGCTAGGATTATAGGCATGAGCCACCTGATTTAATACTCCCAACGTGTTCTT